ATTTTTCTTATATGTACCCATTTCATGTATTCACAACTATGTATACATTTATACTTATTATCTTGTAAACAATTGGCAAATCAAATAAATAAATAAATAAATAAATATGTACGTTCTCCTGGGACATGGGATTAAAGTGGTGGTGGTGGTGGTGGTGAGGAGACTTGATGGAGCTCTGGAAACGAGAGATGGAGATAGAAGCCCCAGGACAGAATCCAGGCAGTAGATTATTTATGATGAGATAAGTAAAGCGAATAAACACTTTGGAGATTCCTTCAGGCAACTTTGTCCTGTCATCTCAATTCTGTTGTATCCTATGGTGAAGGTATTTTTCCCCCCTAGAGCCAAGGTTGTCCTTTATTTCAGGGATCTCCAACCTTTTGGACCTCAGGGGCCACCAAACTAATAATTTTAAATCCCGTGGACCGGAGACCCTGGGAAAATCCCCCCAAAAAAGTCTGCAGGAAAATTCCCCACCCCATTTTCCTACCGATTGATCATTCTTGATTTGGGATCACAGGATACCATCTCCAGCTCCGTTCTCAGGGGAAGGGGGAGAGAGAGAGAGAGAGAGACTTTTGGCTTCATGCAAAGAAAGCAGCAGAAGTCGTTCTTTCTTGCCAGAAATGAGTCTTTGAGACTTGTCGTGCCAGTGCAGCCTCTTAGAGCAAGGATGCCTTGCAGGGTCCCAAAGACTTGTTTGAGGGAGAGAAAAAAAGACTTTTGCTGCTTTCCTTGTGTGCAGCCAAAAGCAGAAGCGGAAAGAAGCAGCCCAGTGGCCAGGTAAGGCACGTGTGGCAAGTGCAACAAGTTCCCCCCTCTGCTCTTTCTCCCCTCCCCTCACTACCTTGTTATTTGCAATGCAAGCAACGCAAGCCTTGTGTTCCCGGGGGCTGTGTGGGCCTTGTGTTCCTGCGCAGCCTGGATTGTGTTCCTGCGCAGCTTTGGGGGTGACATTTATCTGCGGACCACCAAAATTTTATTGCGGACCACCACTGGTCCACAGTTGGCGATCACTGTTTTATTTGGTTTGCGTTTTTTTTATTTGTTTATCAAACATGGACAAGATAGCAGGTATAAGTATGAACATAATAAGCAGGAACAAAATGAAGTAAATACAGATAAATGGGGACAGTAAGACAGAGACGGTAGGCACATTGGTGCACTTATGCATGCCTCCTTTAAGGACCTCTTAGGAATGAGGTGAGGTCCACGGTAGACAGTTTGAGGTTTGAACCTCTGAGGGGTTGAGGCTGTAATGGAGTAGAGCAGGGGTCTCCAACCTTGGCAACTTTAAGGCTCGTGGACTTCAACTCCCAAAATTCCTCAGCCAACAAGTCTTAAGGTTGAAGACCCCTGGAGTAGAGCATTCCAGGCGTTGACCGCTCTTGCTGAAGTCATATTTTCTGCGATCGAGTTTGAAGCGATTTACCTTGAGTTTGTAGCATTTGCCCGTGTATTATTGGGGTTGAAGCTGAAGAAGTCATTGACAGGTTCTCTATTTCTATTCTGTCTTAGCTAAATTTTAAGAGAAAAACAAAGAAAAAAAAGGGTCAGGTATGGAGCACACAAAAATCTCGTATTGGTGCAGCCATGTTAACCTCCTGGAAGGGCTGCATAAATAGTTGGCTATGAAGCTAAGGCCAAGGCAGACTACTTGTGAGTTTGCAGTTGATGCTTAATAAGGAAGCAGAGGTGCATTCCAAAGGAAATTAAATAGCAAGAGCTGCTTTGTCTAATCCTCAGCCAGGGATGCTGCCTCACCATATACATACTAATAGGCATACTCTGGTTTCTCTTCAGATCGTATACATCTTTCGCCTTTTACTAATAGGCAGGGGACCTTGGAAAAGAAGGAACATTGTAGCACTTGTTAGCTGAGAAGGTAAGCATGAGGGTAGGAGATGATAATATACCTTCTTGGATATGAAAGTAATGCCAGTTCTTCATTTCTCAGGAATAATTGGTGTGATCTGCTTATCAAACTGTCCAATTCCAGTTATCTCAATAAATTGCAACAGAGAAAAAGGGATGATAAGATATAAACATATATAGTAGCTTTCAATATTTTCTACAGCAGCTATTAATTATATTTGAGAGTGGAGATTCGTTTTCCGAGCTTGTGGGTTGGTTTCTGAGCATTTCGTTACCAGGCTAAGTAAAATCTTCATAATTTGGGGAATGTCATTGTTGGGGTTCTGCTTATAAAGGCTTTGTGTGGTCAGTAGATCTTGTTATGGGAGGGTCACCTCAGGTGAGTGACGTGACTCTCCCATCAGACCCAGTTTTATATTTTGTGTGTGTTGTTGAGCGGATTGTAAAGAATATGAGCAGCATTGAGTGGCAGACTAACATAAAGGAATGCATTGCATAGAACAACCTCAAAGTACAAAGGGTACAGTTATGGCGAAGTGTTTCTTGACAATATTCCATCCCTAATTCTAGCTAACTTCTGTTGTGAAACTAAGCCTTTATGAAACACCCCTGGTTCTTTCATTAATCTATATGGAGCCACTCCACTAATAATTGGTATAATGATATCCTATTTTGCTATATTATATCAATATCAATCAAAGATTTTGTCAAAAGCAACTTATGGCTCTTTGAGGCATCATTAATAAAGACTTTAAAACTTAGATTTACAACAAATGCAGCCAAAATTTGAATGTCTTTATTGGTTATCATTTATTCTGTGTCACTACATGCCACAAACAACTACCCCCTATGTTTTATAAGTTATGTCTAAAAGACCATTTCCTTTGGTAGTTTAATTTCTTGTGCTGAGACCAGAGGAACTCCTGCTGTCCACATTACAAATTCCTTGCCTGGAATTTGGTACAGATTTAAAACTATGAATGCCACAACTCCAATGCATCTACTAGCTAATCTGCTGCATAGTGTTATATGTCAAGCCACAGGCAACATTCTTTAAAGTATGAGTGCCATTACGTTTGGATATTTGCCATGTATAAAATTGTAATTTAATGTTTGCAAATACTTCATAATTATCAGGATTAAAACAAGTGTGGGAGAAACACCACTTCCCTGTTTCAGCAATTAACATAGTTGAAAATCGATTGGAGCATTATAATATGCTGCATAATAAAAAAAAATCAAATGGAGTAATGTGATTTACTCACCAATCAGTACACATAGCACCAAAAAAATGACGACTTTCCTTACTCTGGTTGAAAATCACACTTGCAATAGCTAGAAGTTCTACTTTCTAAGTGGTTAAACGCTGAGGTGCATAGGCTTGACATATATCAGGAAAAGTATAAAATTTGCCACTATCACAAAGAATAAAATTTGCTGATGAGGAACCTCTCTCCTCTCCACCAACAAAATCAGTTAATGGAATCATGTCTGTTCATATTTCAAAAGGAAAGTAGTACAAATAGTCCTCAATTTACAACCACAATTCAGCCCAACCTTGCTAGGATAGTTAATTGAGTTGCGCCCTAGTTTACAACTTTTTGTTATAGTTGCTAAGCAAATCAAAGCAGTTCTTAAGTGAACATATAGTTGTTAAGCGAATCTGCTTTCCATCGTGTTCGTTGGTAGTTTACAAATGAAGGTCACATTAACTCCAGGATGTTGCAACCATCATGAATGCATGCCGGTTGCCAAGTGCCTGAATTTTGATCATGTGATCATGGGGATGTTGCAAAGTTTATAAATGTGAAAATGGATCTAAGTAACTTTTTTCATTTTACAATATATTTTTTTTATTGCAACTTTGAACAGTCACTAAATGAATGGTTGTAAGTTGAGAACTGCTTTGTATGGTCTCTCCATAGTATGGATCCTTTTATGAGAATTAAGTTGTCCTTTCTTAGTACCCATTTGTACACTTCAGGTATTTATAATGTGGATCCTCTGATGGATAGTAAGGACTCCCTTCTCAATGAATCTCTTTCCACACTTTCCACAACAGTGTTGTTTCTCTCCTGTGTGGATCCTCTCATGGCAATTAAGAGAACTTTTGAAACAAAAACTCTTTCCACACTTTGTGCATTTATATGGTTTCTCCCATGTGGATTCTTTTATGAGAATTAAGTCGTCCTATCTGAATGAAGTTATTTCCGCACTCTATGCATTTAAATGGTTTATTCCCTGTGTGGATTTTTTGGTGACAAGTAAGCACTTTATTCTCAAAAAAGCTCTTTCCACACTCCATACATTTATATGGTTTATCCCGTGTGAATCTTTAAGTATCGAGCCAGATGAGTTTGTACTGAAGCTCTTTCCAGTCTGTGCATTTTTAGTCTTTCTCTTGAGTGGAGCCTTTGATGAGAATGAAGTAGATGTTTCTGACTAAAGCTCTTTCCACTCTATGCATTTGTATGGTTTATCCCATGTGCGAATCTTTAAGTGTCGAGCCAGATTAGAGTTTGTACTGAAGCTCTTTCCACACTCTGTGCATTCCTCTCCTATGTGAATCCTTTTATGAGAATTAAGTTTTCCTATTAAATCAAAGACCTTTCCACATTCCTCACAACTATATGGTTTCTCAACCATATGGTTCCTTTGATGGCAATTAAGACTAGGCTTGCTACGAAAGTTTTTCCCACACTCTGTGCATTTATATGGTTTCTCTCCTGTATGGATTCTTTCATGATTAGTAAGATTTTCTTTCTGAGCAAATTGTTTACCACACTATGCATTTATAGGGTTTCTCTCGTGTGCACCCTTTTATGGGAATTAAGTTTTCCTTTCTCAATAAAACACTTTCCACAATCCAAGCTTTTATATGGTTTATCCCCTGTATGAATCCTTTGGTGATGGGTAAGTACCTTGTCAAAAAAGCTCTTTCTACACTCTAGGCATTTATATGGTCTCTCCCCTGTATGGTTCTTTTGATGGATAGTAAGCTCTCTGTTTTCAAAGAATCTCTTTCCACACTCCCTGCAGCTATGTTTTTTCTCCCCTCTGTGGATCTTCTCATGGCGATTTTTATTACTCTTGAAATGGAAACTTTTTCCACACTCCAAGCATTTATACAGTTTATCCCCTGTATGAATCCACTGTTGATGAGTAAGGACTTTATTGTCAAAAAAGCTCTTTCCATAATCCAGGCATTTGTAGATTCTCTCCCTTATGTGGATCCTTTGATGGCCGTTAAGGCTAGTCTTACTACTAAAGTTATTTCCATATGTTGTGCATATTTTAGTCTTTCTGTTCAGACTGGAAACTTTCCCCAATTTTACAACGGAATGTGGTTTGTGTTTCCTAAAAAGATTCTTAGGTAAAATAAGAGAAAAGGAATGAGATGTGGAGATCTTTTCCTCTCCACCTTCTGAGAGGCTTCTTTCTTGTGTTTTTGGATTCCTTTGATGGTCAAACATCACTTCAATTTCACAGTTTAATGTTTGAAGCAGCATTAACCTCTCCTGCTTCTTGTTCTCCACTGGACCACCTGCATGGAAAAAAGAAAATTTAAAATGGTGAGGGACATCTTGTAGGGTGAGGAAAACCAATAGCTCCATTTTTCTGTAGGGAATTTTGCTGAAATTGGCAGGTTGATGTCAGGCTTCAACTGCTGAATTTTTTTCTAGAAGAGAGAACTGGAGATTGTCCATATATACTTTACATTATTTACTTTAAATTATTTTAAGCAGTCTATATACTTTAAATTATTTTAAGCAGTCAGCAAAACCTGTCATTTCTGCAACCACTTGCAATCAGAGAAAAGTTGTGGGCTCCATCATGTTCTGAACCGTAAATGTAGCCTTTATAGTTTATAGAATATTGGGTGACATATGGAATGAAGAGGTATTTTGGTTGTATTTTAAAAGACAGTAATGAGTTGTTAATGTTGAATTTACATGTGGGAGATGAAAGTGGACATTCATTTCATAAACATACACATACCCATACGGGGATGTTTCTGCATTTTGTAAATTTCTTTCCTTTTCATATATTTTGCATTGCGTTTGTACATATGTTTTATCTCTTGAGAATAATCCTTAATAAAATTATGTGAAAAAAAACAGCTATTAAGGAGGGGGCTTCTCCTCTGGAAAACATGCCCATCTGCATTCCAAGTATGGCATAAGCCTTAATTCAGCTCGGAGATGTTGGGTGAAAATTATTAGCTAGGAAATTCTGATGATATTCAAGAGATTTTTCAGCTGGGAATCGCATTTAGACTTTGCTGTTGATTGGACAATCTGGGGCATTTCTCAAATGGATAAATTAACGCTGAATTTAAAAGATAAGGAAGCTTCAATATTTTATAAGGTATGGGAACAATGATATAGCGGGATAGATCGGAGACAGATTAAGGATAGGTAATTATTAAATATAGAATATAGATAGAATAAGAATTATGCACAAATTAATACCTGTAAATAGTGCACAAATGATTGTTATATGATAAGCACCACAAATAGCTGTTACTGAGTGATATATTTTTTATGTTTTTAATGTAATAAAAAATCAATAAAGTTTATTTTAAAAAAAAATAAAGTAAGATTTGCTATGTCATTGAGCATGAGTAGTTTGAAGAATATAGGCTGAAATGGAACAAATCTTCAATTCATTCATACATTAAAAGACAGGGTGAAGAAAGGATTCTAGCCTCCCCTCTTAAACTTTTGGACTTCCTTACAGCCCTGAGGGTGAATTTCTCTTTCCTCCCATGGATTTTCCTTGAAGCATTTGCCTCAAGAACAAGTAAGTTCTCAAAGTATTAAGAGTTCCAAGAAATGCAGACATCTTTCTTCTGAATGTCTCTTATTTCTTACAGAGGCTGCTAAACACAATGCATCCTTCACGGTTAACTCTTCTCACCTGCCGCCCCTTTCCGGGGGCAGCAGGACCAGCAGCTGCTCCAGCACCACTAAGGTCCAGCATCTGGACTTTGCTGCTCCGCTCGGGCCGCAGCCACCCCCGGCACAGCCGGTGCAAGCGGCTGCAAGGCGCCCGGGGCCCCTCGGCCTCTCGGGAGGCGCAGCTGCGGAAACGCCAGCGCTCAGCCTCGGAACTGCGGGGACCCTCAGAGAGGTATCTCTGGATACTGTTCCCGCCGCCGCCGCCCGCCTGAAGGGCCATTGTTGCTCCCGCCCAGGGGGACTCCCGGGACTCCATTCGGTCTCCGGCTTCAGAGCAGGCCGGTGTGGAAACTCCTTCCGAGACCGATTTCAGTCACGGCGGACACTTTGCCACCGAGCCCCCCCCCCCCCCCCCCCCCCCCCGGCGCGGGGCGGGGGGGGCCCCCCCCCCCGCCCCCCCCCCGCGCCGGCGGGCCCCCTGCGCCCCCGCCCCCCCCCCCCCCCCCGTTTCGAGGAGAGAGAAGGGGGGCTCCGCTCCCTCAGGGCTTCTGAGGTTGAAAAGAGCAGCTGCATGTCACCCCCTCCCCCAGAGGTTTCTTCCCCCCCCACACACACAGAGTGCCTGGACCACCGAGCGCCGTCCCCTCCCAGCGCACTCCAAAGCCTTTTAATCTGCATCCCAGATAATTTTTGTCAAGTTTTATGCGCATGCTCAGGTCCCTTAGGACCATTAAAAAATTGCCTTAGCAGAGCGGCCTTTCCTTCTCTCCGAACTTGGTCACCTTGCAAGGTGTTTCATTACCGAACCTTGGTAACATCATTAATACTAGTTAAGAAATGGGGGTTTGCTCTCACTTTATATTCTAGTCTAGTGGTTTTCCCTTGTCAGCGTGCTGGGAGCTGTCTGGGAGGTCTAATTGTTCATTGGTGATTTCCTGTAGCCAATTTTTTGATTTTGAGCCAATATTTTTGAGCCTCTGGGCAGGACCACCACAGATGATAATATGTTCACTCTTTTTTTGGGCTGCTTATTTTTTTTTTGGAGTTCCTTGATTGGGATATTTACAAAATTGTAAACCATTTTGGAGTAAATCTACGCTGATGTGGGTGCTGATTGCCCATGAGATGTTTTGCTCTTTTTGTTCCCTTATTTAGATTGTTGATTGTCAAACTGCAACTTAACCTGGAAGGAAGGTATAAGCAGTTAGCCACAAACCCTACCAGCCAAGATAGGGTACTTGTGAGTTTGCTATTGAAACCACAAATCCAACTGCTTTTCTAACTAATCGGACATGAATACATTGTGTAAGACAACATCAAAGTATAAGGAATACAAATGTAATAACAATGGCAAGTAAAGTTTCTTGAAAATATTCCGTCCGGACTAGAGATAACTATTCTAACTTATGAAGTTAAGTCTTCATGAAAATTCCAGAAAGTGTTCATTAATGTACGTGCAGACTGCATATGCTCTACTAATAAATGAACTAATGACAGCTTATTTTGCAACATTTACATTTTCAGAGAAAAGATTTTACCCAAAGCAGCTTATGGCTCTTTGATGTGTCATTTATAAATAAGAATGTTAAAACTGACTGACAACAAAATGCAGCAATTATGAATGTCTTATAATTTAGTGTGTATTTGCATGCCAGAACCAAGCACTCTCCTTGTTTTATAATTATACTTGAAATTTAACTTGGTAATTTAATTTCTTATGGTAAGACCAGATGAATCTCTGCTATCCAGTCAAGAAACAGTGCAAATTCCTTTTCAGGATTTTGGTAAAGATTAAAAAGTATGACTGCCACAAGCCCACTACAAACTTTGAGCTAGCCTTCTCCATATATTGTTATATGTCAAGGCCAAGACATTTTTTGCTGATGCTGGTATGTTCAACTATTTGCCCTCCAAAAAAGCCTGAATTTTAACATCTCCAAATATTTCCTAATCTGGATTAAAACATAGAAACAACTTTTACATGTTTGGGCAATTAATGTCATCTGAATATAAACTGGGGCGTAGGAATATTTCTGCATAATAACAAAATCAATGCAATAATGTGATTTACTTGCCAATCAGTACATGGAGCACAGAAAAATTGAGACATCCCTTACCCTGGTTCAAACTCCCTGGCTAAATGCTTAGATATAAAGGCTTGACATTTCTGCTGAGGAACTTAATTTGCTCATGGAGAACAAACAGCTCCCTTCAGCCAATAAAATCTTTTAATGGAATCAATTCTTTTGATATTTCATCAGGAAGGAAAATAATACCTGTAGTTCTCAACTTACAATTCAGTCCAACATTTCCCTTGCTAAGCAAGCAGTTACATCTGAGTTTGCAAACATTAGCAAATCACTCCACTTTTGAAGTGAATGATATACCGTGTTTCTCCAACAATACGGTCTCCCCCAATAGGAAGTCCCAGCATGTTTTATCGGCATAAAATCAAATTAAGCCCCTCCCCCCAAATTAAGGCCTATATTAAACATGTGAAATGGGGGGAATGGCGGGGGGGGCTTGTCATTAGGAAGTACTTTTGTTGCATACCTGGATATGGTGCTGCCTGCGTTGACTTTGGCGGGGCACTTCACATCAGACCTTCTGCCACCGTTGCTTCCCCTTCTCCCCATGCTGCTGCGGCGTTTAGAGCAACGCACATTTGGCGCAGCCACGCGCAGCCAGCCAGGGCTCCTCCCTGCAACCGGAGCCCGGCGGAGACACTCTGCTTCAGGCGCTCCTGTCACCGCCTTCCCTTCGCCTTCAAAGGTAAAGCCAATTCTTTTAAAAACGACGCCCTATGACCGGTACGATAAAGCCTCCCGGTTGCCAAATGCCTGAAGGGGCCACTGGGAGAGGCCGCCCGAGGCAGTGATAGTGGCCACCTGTGGACAGGGGCAAGGCGACGGCCTGTGCCACGTCCTCCTCCGAGCTGAGCCCCGCCGAGTCAGCACCTCTGCCCGATGCCCGTGCCGCTGCAGCGTTTGGAGCTGCTGGAGCATTTGGAGATGCGTGGGGACGGGCACAGGCTGGGTGAGGGGTGGAAAGGACGGGCGGCTTCAGGCTCTCCCCACCGGACCCACCGGCCAGGGAAGCAGTGCTGCCATCACCTCGCCTCCCTGTCTGCGGATGGGTGGGCGCTATCACTGCCTCGGGCAGCCTCTCCCGGTGGCCCCTGGTTCAGGCTGGAGGGACTTGGGAAGGAAGCCAAGCTCAGGTTGGCCCGGCTCTTTTGCTTGGCAGGCGGGTGTGCACCTGCGGCTCGCTTTCCTGGCTCTGTCCAGCCCGTGTGGCTCTGGTGCAGAGCCCTGGTGAGATGAGCAGAGGGTCCGGTGGGGAGGCGCTCGCTGCCTTGGCGAGAGCTCCGCTGTCGGGCAGGAGGGCCCACCTGTCAGCTGCGCTGGGCACCCCAGGAAAAGATCTTCGTGCTCTGCCCAGCGCCAGGCAGGGAGGGAGGCTGGGCGCTTCTCCCGGGGTGGGCTGATCCTGCACTGCGGCCCCAGGAGATTCGCCTCCCCACGTGGGGTTGGGTTGCCCTCTCGGGTAGGGGGAGGCTTTGTCGTACCGGTAGTAGGGTGTCGTTTTTAAAAGAATTGGCTTTGCCTTCGAAGGCAAAGGGAAGGCAGAGACAGGAGCGCCGGAAGCCGAGTGTCTCCGCCGGGCTCCGGTTGCAGGGAGGAGCCCTGGCTGGCCACACGTGGCTGCGCCAAACGCCGCAGCGTTGCTGTAAACACCGCAGCAGCACGGGAGAAGGGAAAGCAACAATGGAAGGTCTCCCAATACGAAGTGCCCCACCAACGCCGAGATCAACATCCAAGCCGTCGCTGCCCGCCCACCTGAAGATGCAAGGGGGGGGGGAAATTAAGTCACCCCCCCAAAAAAGACGGCCTAGCCTTTTTTTCGGGGGTCAAAAAAAACAAACGCCCGGCCTTATTTTGTGAGAAACACAGTAGATAAGCGACTCTCCCTTACCCATCGATTGCTGGAAGCTTACAAATGGAGATCATCTGACCCCAGAGCACTGCAACCAGATAACAGATAATTAGTTGGAAGGGACTTTGCAGGTCATCTAGTCCAACCTCTCGCCCAAACGGGAGACCCTACACCATTTCTGACTAATGGCAGTCCAATCTCTTCTTGAAAGTCTCAAGTGATGATGCTCCCACAACTTCCAAAGGCAACTTCCGTTCCATGGGTTGATTGTTTCCACTGTCAGAAAGTGTCTCCTTATTTCCAGGTTAAATCTCTCCTTGTTCAGTTTCCATCCATTATTCCTTGTCTGGCCTTCGGATGCTTTGGAAAATAGCTTGACCCCTTCCTCTCTGAGGCAGCCCCTCAAATATTGGAAGACTGCTATCATATCTCCCCTGGTCCTTCTTTTCAGTAGACTTGCCAGGCCCAGTTCCTGTATCTGTTCTTCATAATCTCCAGTCTCTGGTCCAGTCCATCATAAATACATGCCAGTTGGCAAGTGCCTAAATTTTGATCACATGAGATGCTGCAACAGTCATTAGTATGAGAACTGATCTAAGTCATATTTTTCATTTTATTTCATTTTTTTCACTGTAACATTGAACATTCACTAAATAAACACTTATAAGCAGAGGACTAATTGTATGGATTCTTTTAAGAGACTTAATTTGTCCTTCCAGATGTCAAGGTTCCAATGAACCCAACCAATCCAGCAACTCAACTCTTGACACTTTTAGTTTTCTCAAATAACCGATTTATTGAATACATCATTTCAGCACAGTTGAAAAACAAAACCAGCTCTGGCTATTTCCCACACTTTCAGTAATTAAAGGTTAGACAGCTCCCTCCCTCCTTGTCACAGGTCACATTGTTCAGTCAGGTGTTCTGGCATCTCCTTGGAAACCTCTTCCAGTCTCTGGCCAGCACCTGTTAAATAACCTTGGTTCCCACAAGATAGTAAGTTGTTGATGTCTGGTCTGATATTCCAAAGCTCCCACTTTCCCCCAAAGTGTGTCAAGCTGAGAAACAGAGAAAATGGCTGCGACACCCCCAATCTGTCTCAAAGTTGACACCTAAGTAAAGCTCTTTCCATGTTCCAGTTTAATCCCTGTGTGGATCTCTTGTGTCGAGCCACATGAAAGTTTGTATTGAAGCCCTTTCCATACTCTTTCCATTTATACGGTCTTTCTACTCTATGAATCCTTTAATAGCTATAAGGTCTCTCCTCTCAGAATCCTTTTCCAGACTCTCTGTAGGAGTTTGTGCATCCTCTCATGGGAACTAAGAGAACTTTTGAAATGGGAGCTTGTTGTATATACAGAGTGTTTATAGGGGCTCTCCTTTGCATATCCTTTTCAATTTCATTGTACACATGTTGTGCATTGACAATAAACATTTGATTGATTGATTGATGCATAGTAATGTTTCCCCTCATATCCTTTTCCACACACCATTCAATTATTTTGTTTCTCCTCTCTGTGGATTCTCTCATGACTATTAAGATTGCTCCTGAAACGGAAGGTCTTTCCACACTCCGAGCATTTATATGGTTTCACTCCTGTGTGAACCCTTTCATGAGCAGAAAGATGTGTTTTCCTAATGAACTGCTTTCCGCACTCCATGCACTTAAATGGTCTCTCCCCTGTGTGGATTCTTTTATGAGAATTAAGATTTCCTTTTGAAATAAAGCTCTTCCCACACTCCAGGCATTTATATGGTCTCTCCCCTGTGTGACTCCTTTGATGGATAGTAAGCTCTCTGTTTTTAAAGAATCTCTTTCCACACTCCCTGCAGCTATGTTTTTTCTCCCTTCTGTGGATCCTCTCATGGTTATCGAGACTATTCCTGAAATTGAAACTACTTTCACTCTCTATGCAATTATTTACTTTCTCACCTGTGTGACTTTTATGAAAATTAAGTTCTCCTATTAAAACAAAAGCCTTTCCACATTCCTCACAACTATTCAGTTTCTTCCTTGTGTGCATCCTTTGATGGATAGTAAGATCTGTCCTCTCATAGAATCCTTTTTCACACTCCATGCAACTATGTTGTTTCTCCGTTCTATGGATCATCTCATGGCAATTAAGATTGCACCTGCAACGGTAGTTCTTTCCACACTCTGTGCATTCATATGGTTTTACTTCTGTGTGAACTCTTTCATGATCAGAAAGAGAACTTTTCTGAGTGAAATGTTTTCCACACTCCACAGAGGTATATTGTTTCTCCCCGCTATGGATCCTCTCATGGCGCTTAAGATTACGCTTGAAACGAAATCTCTTTCCGCACTCTGTGCATTTATATGGTTTCACTCCTGTGTGAACCCTTTCATGATCAGTAAGATCTCTTTTCCGAATGAACTGCTTTCCACACTCCATGCACTTAAATGGTCTCTCCCCTGTGTGGATTCTTTTATGAGCATTAAGATTTCCATTTGAAATAAAACTCTTTCCACACTCCAGGCATTTATATGGTTTCTCCCCTGTGTGACTCCTTTGATGGATGGTAAGAGCTGTGTTCTGAAAGAATCTCTTTCCACACTCCCTGCAGCTATGTTGTTTCTCCCGTCTATGGATCATCTCATGGCGATTAAGATTGCACCTGAAACGGTAGTTCTTTCCACACTCTGTGCATTTATATGGTTTTACTTCTGTGTGAACCCTTTCATGATCAGAAAGAGTACTTTTCTGAGTGAAACGTTTTCCACACTCCATGCAGCTATATTGTTTCTCCCCGCTATGGATCCTCTCATGGCGCTTAAGATTACGCTTGAAACAAAATCTCTTTCCGCACTCTGTGCATTTATATGGTTTCACTCCTGTGTGAATCCTTTCATGATCAATAAGTTCTACTTCATAACTTGTTGTTTGCAGTGGCATTAACCTTTCCTCCTTCTCATTCTCCATTCCATCATCTGCTTTGAAGAAAAAAAATAGAAATCCCTATTGAAATTTAGAACAGTTAGGGAGGAGGAGATAACATCTTTGAAGAGAACCAACACCCCCATTTTTCTGTTGGGGATTTGGCCAGTTGGTGTCAAGTTTGGATAGCTGATTTTTTTCCCTAGAACAACTGAAGATTGTCCACATTTACTTTATACATCTGATTTTTGTAAGCAAACAGCAAAACCTTTCATTTCTACAGCTGTTTGTGATCAGTTAAAAGTTGTGGGTTCCATGATGCGCTGAACCATAAATGCAACCTTATCAATTACTGGATGGCATTCTCTTCAGTCCATTTTAAAAGAATATCATAGCTTTGCAGCTTTCTAAATTATTTTTGTAATCTATTGCAATATACAGGGAATAGATTATTTTAGAGTTGTTTTTTGAAAGCTTTTAAATGCTTTGTGAAACTGATTAAAAATTTATGAAGTTAATTAGAAAGAGCATCCTGTATGGGAAAAATCTGTCTTGTTTATGTATGAATTGTAAAGCCAAACCTTGAAGGTTTATTACCAGAGCACAAGATGGCTACTTTAAGGGAATGTTTGACTTTTACTTATTTGAAGTTTTTGATCCTTTTTATCTCTTTACTGAAAACAGGGGTTACTAACGAAAACCAACAAACCTCTCTGGAGACTACAGACAGGGGTTCACTGGAATTACAAATGCAGTTGGATGATACCATTTTAAATTGAAATGTAAGAGATTTTTGGAGTCATTTCAGGAAAATTACAAGTGGATTTGAAATATAAGAATTTGAAGAGAAAGGAAAAGGATAGTAGAAACAAATATGTCATTGAAGAATGGTTGGGAGGAAAAAATATAAAATTGCTTTTTCTGATTATTGGAAAAATGAGTTATTTCTGCTGATGTTGAATTGTTTGAAATGGAGTGTTTCTTGTAGAAATGTTTAATAGGTGTTGAACAAGACAATATGTAGGGATTTGGTAATGTTTAATAGTTTTAAATTCCTTTTTTGCAAAGTTTAATTGTTAAAAGGGGTGTGTGGAAGGCAGACTAAATAGAAATGGGGACTATATTAGTAACTACTTATATCATTAGCTTTATTTTTTACTATTTCTTGGCTGATTAGTAAGATCAGAAGTTTTAGACATGAGTTTATAGAATATTGGGTGATGTATGGAATGAAGAGTATTTTGGTTGTATTATAAAAGACAGCGATAAGTTAACATTGAACATACATGATGGAGATGAAGGGGGAAATTTCATATACATGCACACACATACAGGGGAATTTCTGTTTTCTAAATATTTTTTCTTTTTAATGTATTTTTAAATTCCTTTTGTGTAATTTATCTGCATAAGATACCGTATTCTTCAAACTATAAGACACACTTTTTTACCACCACCCCCAAAAGTGTGTGGAAATGCCTGTGCAGCTTATAAAGTGAATGTTTGGGGGAGGGGTTTGGTGTTCTAGGCAGCGGGGATCACTGCTGCCGATCACCGCCATTCAGTGGTGGCGATGGGCAGCGAGCGGTGGCTATGGTGTTCCCCATCACCTAGAATAGCTGATGGGTGGTATTCTGGGAGGCTAATCAAACAGCCAACCAGCTGCTCAGCGAAGGCTCCAGTGTTCCCTGGTGGCAGCAGCATCTCAGCTCAATTGAGCGCAACGGAGTGGGCGCAACAGAGCGGAGCCCTTACGAGCCACATGCTGGGGCTGCGATAACATGCTGAAGCTGTCCAGGCTGTTTGCTGTAAGGATGCTAGCCAGATGAATACTGGATGGATGCTGAGAGACATCCATCCGGTATTCTTGTTTTCCTCCTCTAAAGCTAACGTGCATCTTATTTTCCGGAGCATCTTATAGTACTAAAAATACAATAATCCTTAATAAAATTATGTCAAAATAAACATCAGCTGTTATGGGGCTCTTCTGCTCTAAAAAGTATGCCCATCTGCATTATAAGTATGCCATCAGCCATGAATCCAGCTTGGAGATGTTGGGTGCAAATTGTTAACTGGGAAATTCTGATGATATCTAAGAGATTTTTTTCAACTGGAAACCACATTAAGACTTTGCTATTGATTGGGCAATCTGGGATATTTCCAAAGCTATGGTGAGCATTTCTAACAAGGCCTTAAGTAGAGAAGATCACCTTAAGCAATTTGAGTGCATGATCTTCCCTTTTTACCTATGACAGAAATAACTTTCCCCAATTAATGGAACCTAGAGCAAAGTGGAACCTTACCCACGGCAGACATATTCCTAAAAGCCTCCAGTGAGACTTCTTTGCACAAATCTCTCTGGCCTGAATCCAGCAGTGCCCACTCCTCTTCTGTGAAGTCCACAGTGACCTCCTCAAAGGGATCAGAGCCCTAGAATGAGAATGTTCTTTAATAGACAATCCAAGAAAAGATTTGAGCATTTTCTCTCTTACTGCACAACAGAGCTTTGCAAAAACAAAATGAGCCTTTTCTTGGAGGAAAAGAAGTCCTTGTGGCTGTAAAGTCCCCAAGTCCCCCTGTCTCTAATACTGGTAGCTGGTGCTCTTAATGCACAAAGCATGCCTGCATCCAAGTTTTTGAATGGCAATAGCCATTGGGGAGCCTCCTGGTGCGTTGGAATAACTTAGCAAACATTTGTGGAATGAATCCACTAACTTCACTTTGGGAGCAAATTCTACATTCTTTACAAAACAGGACACATCCACTAGAAATTTCTTTTCCTCCCTTTCATGTTAGAAATGAGCCTGGAAGTCTTAAGGCACTTGAAGAACATTCTAAGAGCTGTGGTAACACAGTCGTTAGAATGCAGTACTGCAGACTACTTCTGCTGACTGCCAGCTGCCTGCAATTTGACAGTTCAAATCTCACCAAGCTCAAGGTTCACTCAGCCTTCCATTCTTCTGAAGTCACTAAAATGAGGACCCAGATTGCTGGAGTAATATGCTGACTCCATAAACTGCTTAGAGGGCTGTAAAGCACTGTGAAGCGGTATATAAGTATAAATGCTATTGCTACTGATGCAGTCATTTAGTGTTGAGTTTGAGGATTTTTCATGGAAAATCTGTTATAAAAGCACACTATTTCTGTAGCAGTTATGATGCTATTACAATAGTTTCAACTCATGGGATTAATTTTTTTAACTGGTTTCTCCATTTTTCTGTAAAGTATTAGAAAATATTAGGCTAGTAAATTACATTGCCTAATAGCCTGTCAGGTTGTTATTGTCTCTTGTTTCTATCTCCAAAATGACCATAAAAATTCAATGAATGAGGCTCATTCTGGGCAGGATAGCATGTTCAACTACAGACTCCGCATTTGGCTATACTGTAGAAGCAGCTCATGAACAGAAAAAAATGAATTCTGCCACTCTCAGAAGAAACCTAGTTACCTGCTGTAGTGCCCCAAGTTGGATCCTCCTGAAAAGCTGCCCCTGAGAAGGAGTGCATCGATTTCCTCTTTTCCAGAAATCTGCTGAGATCTCTCTTGTGAATGGCTCCTGCATCTGAAAAAGAAGCCTGGTTTATAATCCATATTCAAAGGACTGTATTTATGTAACTTCACTTGTCTTACCTTGGAATTCCCCAACACAAGTCAAAGCGAGAGTATTCAGAAATTCTGATTTGAAGGTAGCTGTTATTTCTGGGTAAATGTCTGCCATTTTTGTGAAGTGCTTATTTCCTCTTTTCATTCTGACCAGGACTTGCTTATCTTCTCCGCTTCTAGTGATAGCTGTGGCCTTTCCTCTTTTTATGGATGGACCTATGCCTGTTCTATCTCTTCCTCCAGGAATCTTTTCCTTTAGATTTAGAAAGTTTTGTCTCTTGAGTACGAAAGAATTGATCTTCCCTTCCTTTTCTTTGGGCTTCCTTATGCCTCTTGTAGTAGAAAGACCACCAACCTGGCAAATTCAGAGACAGATCTTGGGATGAACACCCAGATGGTTTTGTGAGGGAGATGCACAGAGTCTCTTTGTGGGGACTGAGAAACACTTTACATGGTTGTTCAGTCTGGCTTCTCAAGCATTCCCACAGACCATTACATTATACCATCATGATCATCATCATTTTAGCCATTGTCTATCCACTGCAAGATGAAGGCATCTTCCGCATATTTCCAACCAAATATAAACATACCAACATATGTTCTCTAGACATATGTTTCCAGTGACTATAAAGAAGAGAAGCAGGCAAGTAAGACTTATAAGATTTGCTATGTCATTAATGAGTAGTTTGAAGAGTGTCCGCTGAAAGGGACCAAATCCTCCATTCATGCATTAAAAGACAGAAAGGCAGGGCAAAGAAAGGATTCTAGCCCTCCTCCCTCAAACTCTTACAGCCCTGAGGGTGAATTTCTCTTTCCTCCCGTGGATTTTTCTCCAAGAGGAAAACGAAGCATTTGCCTCAAGAACAAGTAAGTTCTCAAAGAATTAAGAGTTCCAAAAAATGCAGACATCTTTCTTCTGAATGTCTCTTATTTCTTACAGAGGCTGCTAAACACAACAGCGTCCCATGCATCCCTCACAGTTAACTCTTCTCACCTGCCGCCCCTTTCCGGGCTCCGGGGCGGCTGCGGGGCCGAGGAGGCAGCCTTCGGCCAGGGCCACCGCCTGGGCGCATCTCTCCGCCCCGCACTCCCTCAGCCAGCCCGACAGCTCCGGGGGCAGCAGGGCCAGCAGCTGCTCCAGCACCACCAGGTCCAGCATCTCGGCTTTGCTGCTCCGCTCGGGCCGCAGCCACCCCCGGCACAGCCGATGCAGGCGACTGCAAAGCGCCCGGGGCCCCTCGGCCTCCCGGGCGCCGCAGCTGCGGAAGCGCCAGCGCTCAGCCTCGGAGCTGCGTGGCTCCTCCGGGAGGCCGCTTCCCTCGCCTGATTCCCCGCCGCCTCTTCTCGCCTGGAGGGTACTGGGGGCTGCTGCTACCGCCGCCTTTGAAGATCCTTGGGCTTCCATTTGGTATTTGGCCTCCGGCTTCAGCGACTCCCAAAGGCTTCTTTCAGCCAGGGCAGAGCCTCCGCCATCGACCGCCACTTTCCCGGTTTCATAGGGGGGGAGGAGAATGCGGGCTCCGCTCCCCTCAGAGTTTCTGCGCCTCAGCACAGGAGTTGCAAATCCTTCCCGCCAAAACTTCTCGCCCCGCCCTGTCCTCGCAGAGCCCTCCTTCCTAGAGAGGCAAGACGCTATACGCTGCCCCTCCCCCAAGAGAAATCATCGTTTCTCCTATGTACCGCAGGCATTACTTTCTAGCGTCTTCTGCGCATGCTCTTCCGTTGTGACATCGAACTCATCCGTTGGCGGAGTATTTCTTTTTTATTTGGGGGCGAGGGGAAAGAGAAGAAATCAAGTTCTCTTTTCTCAAGGAGAAAAGCAACCTGGAACTAGGGAGAAATTTCCCGACAGTGAGAACAGCCAGCTAGAGAATTCTGGGAGTTGAAGTCCACAAGTCTTCAAGGTGCCAAGTTTGGGGACCCCTGGTATAGTGTCTCCTGCCTATGCAGGGGATTGGACTGGAAGACCTCCAAGAACCCTTCCAACTTTGTTATTCGGCTATAGACATTGATGTGCACCTGTTTTGCAAGGATGGGGGAGCAATTATTTATGTTGAAATATAAGAGTATCGAACCAGGGTGCACTCCAAATGTGTGCCGTCCAGGAAATGGGAATGAGTTTAAGAGGCTGGCACACAACTGGGATGGGGATAGATGCAGTGGGGTGGCATCTTCGGTCTGATCTAAGTATGGTATATAAAATCATATATTGCAACGTCGTACCTGTCAATGAATACTTCAGCTTCAACCATAACAACACTAGAGCAAACAAAAGATACAAAGTCAAGGCTAACCGCACCAAACTTGATTGCAGGAAATACTTCAGCAACAGAGTGGTCAATGTCTGGAATACTCTACCTGACTCTGGTTTCTTCCCCAAACCCCCAAAACTTTAACTTTAGACGGTCTACTATTGACCTCACCCCTTTCCTAAGAGGTCCGTAGGGGGCGTGCATAAGCGCACCAACGTGCCTACTGTCCCTGTCCTATTGTTTTTTTCTTATTCATATCCATTTCATGTATTCATAACTATGTATATACTTATACCTATTATCTTGTAAGCAATTGACAAATTAAAATAAATAAATAAATAATCTTCTGCTAGCCTTCCCTCTGGGCTCCCGTAGCATCCTGAGCTCCTGTAGCATCACCAATAATGCACTGTCCTGCCCCATTGATCCACAAGTTAATCATCCTTCCCCTTCCGGACCTTCCTGGACATCTGGGGTTTCTCTTTTTTCCCCAAATTCTCTTGAAAATTCAGATGTGGTTCTGGGATACATGGAAGAAGGCGGAGGGTTAGGGTTTGGGGAAGGAAAGGGGTTTGGGGAAGGAAATGTGAGAAATGGAGTCTCAAGGCAGGGGCCAGCCAATAAATTTATTCATTTATTACTAAATAAGTAAATGCTTTGAGGAATCTATTAGGGCAGGTTTTTTTGTCCTGTTATCTTAATCTCTGTTTCCCTATGGTGATTTTATGGAATTAGCTTCCTTTTTCTACAGAGTGCAATCTGCCTGTTACCTGTTTCTGTTTTCTCTTTCTAGTCTGTGCAAATCTTGACTTTTTATTCACCCTGGCCTTTCTGCTTGGCTGTGCCTGGCCATATATACAATAAAAAATTCAGAAATGCGTGTTCCTCCTAAATGGACTGAAATGTGGCACTCCGTATAGCTGGCCATGACAACTGGGTCAGATATTGAAAAAAGAAAACACAGAGAGAAGTCACAAGTTAATCAGCTAGGTCCCATGCTTACAATGTCTTCTTCCCAAATATGTGCTGAAGTGGTGAGTAATTGCCATGCCAACTGCTGAACAAGGCTTTCCCTTCTAGCTGATGTGATATCCACTCACTCCCCACCCACCCCAGAAATGTTCACTATGGTCAGAAGATAACAAAGGGAAATCACAAGATTTCTGCAACTAGTAAACAGCAGAGAGCACACACAGAAAGCCACTTATTAAGTGCAAGCTTTGTTAAGTCCCTGGAGGGGAAGTGAAACTTCTCCACAATGAACAAAGGTTAGGACCTGGCCCCTTGCCAGCAAATGGTGCACTATGAAAGAAAATGAATAGAGCTACTTGTCTAACCAGCCATTTTTCAGATGTTAATTAAAAATGGTATGTCACTTTTGGGACACTCAAAGCGTAATGTTGGAGCAGGAGATTCTGAAGTCAAATCCTGCCTTAGCCCTGAAACCCAATCACTCACTCTCAGCCCAACCCACCTCACAGGGTGGTTGTGTGGATAAATAAGAGGGGAAAGGTATGTTGGATATGTTCATCTCCTTGAATTATTTGTAAAAATAGTCAAGGCAGGATACAAATTATAACAATTAAAAAATCCCATTAATCAGCAGCAACTCTTGGAAAGTGAAATTGACAGCATTTGGTGGCTCTAAGCTGAGAAGGCAAATGTGGGGTGGGAGATAATATTCCCTTCTTGGCTCTGAAAACAATGTTGTTTATTTTTTTTATCACATCCTGCGTAATAAGCTTTCTAATTTTCTGTCTTAAGGGGTCCAACTCAAGTCCATTTCAATTTGCTAAAGCTGAAAATACCAAGTGTTTTTGTAATATACTTATTAAAAGTTTTAAAAATAGAAACTGACTTAGAACGTTGTAGAAAGTTAGCACCCATCCCTCTCTTTGAAGAATGAAATATTATAGGAAATATTAGAAAGGAAGAATATATTCCCCTGGATGAAAAAAGGAGAAAGCGGCTCCCTGCCCCCACCTTCAGCTCCAGGGTGATGGGATTAAAACATGGCCCTCAGGACATAATAGGATTAACCTTTTACCCATCTCACCACATGGCACCTGGGCAGATTGCATCACCCAGCAAGGTTCAACCAAACCTGGGACTCAAGACAGCCTATAAAGTTACCCCAGCATAGCCCCATGGGCCTCTCTCACCCATTCACTCATTTCCCCAGGACTTCAAACCATGTGGTCCTCTTAACCATTAAACCATCTTTCCAAATAGCCTCCATGTTTCCAGTCTCTTTCTCCTCACTTGGAACTGAACCCAAAGGGATATTTCTTCCAACAACAGAAAAAGGGGAGAAATAACAGAAAAAGCTCAAAGTGTGGTAAGAAAATAGAAGTAGGAAAAAAGAAATATATATATAAAAACATTCTTCACAGGTTGTAAGTACAATTATATTGTCACCTTTATCTCCAAGTTACAGCATGATGCTCTTCTTTCCATATATCTATCTGTCTAATCAACAAAACCATAAATCACAAACTCATTTTTAATTTTTTTACACACATTATTTTTTGTCCATAAGTGGTTTCCAGTGTTTTTGTTTCATCTTTTACTGCACTGAGCTTTTCTATATTCAGTTTTCCAGTTCCAACTATAACTGATTTTTGGTTTGGATTTTTTTTCCTACACAACATCAGCAACTAGATGCCCTGAGGCTTTAATGTAGCAATTCTTCGAAGAAAGCTCTTTCTACATTCCATGCATTTATAAGATTTCACTCCTGTGTGAATCATTTATTAATTCATTCCTCATTTGTATTATAGTTGACCATCTATCAATAACTGATACAATAACATTCTACAATTTTTAAAAATTCAACATTAAGACTAGGAAAAAGGATTCAATATTGTAAGGAATGCAGCAACCTCGCTGGTTCAAGTTTTTTGAGATTCCCCAAATCTGTTGACATAGCCATGTTGTTTTGAGGGACTTCCAGGATCAAGGATGGGTGCTAGGGAAGAGAAGGCCCATCTCCTCGGTCCTGCCACATGTAATTTCTTAACAGAGAGGGCCTTGCAACATACATCTTCTGCCAGATCTGATAGGATAGGCAGATATACTCAGGAAGGGGTCCCTCATGTAACCCAGCTTCGTGCCCTGAAGGCCTTTAAAGATCATTACGGTACATTATGTAACCTAACATATGCTGCTATAGGGGCCCACATAACTGCCCACATCATATCTTGTATCAGCCAATGCTTCTGGATGCTGAAGGTCAGCTCCGTGTAGAGCACATTACAGTAGTTCATCTGGGCATGAGTGACTGTAAGCAGAGCTTCCTGATCCAGAAATGGCCACAATGGGCACACAATACAATAAGCTTGTTCAGAGGTTCTCTTAGCCAAGGCTGCCACCTGCGCTTTGAATACAAGTCATGATTCTGAAAGAACCCCTGGTTGTGTAGAGTTTTTCAGTAATTAACATTAGTCTTGGAATTTAACAGTATTAATATGGTTTCTCATTTGTGTGCATTGTTTGCTTGCAAATAGGAGTAGTTTATAATTAAGTTTTTTCTACAATTTACACAGTCTTCACTTCCTGTCTGTGTCTGAAATCTTTAATGGAAATTAACACAACTCTTCAGATTGAAATGCATTTTAAATGCTATAAATGTAGGCAATTTCTGTTTCATATAGAGGTTGTTTTTTTTAGGTAAAACCAAAGAAGCCATCTGTTTTCTGAATTCCTTAATCTTTCTGTGGACTGTTGATTGCCCAGGATAGATGACACTGAGAAATCACAGAACAAATTCATTTATACAATTTGTAAAACGGTAGAATCAGTGGGGGAATCATAGTTTGAACAATGTCACTTGATTATAAAAAACATGCAATTGAATGGTTTGAAATGTTAAAATGGGAAACAGAAATAATTTCTCTTTTTAACATTTCAACCCCAGGCAGATCCCCTCAGAAGTCCTGCATGAACCTCCCTCCTTAGGGAAAATAAAATAAAATAAAATACTACTAAAATAAAATAAAATGAGAAAGTGCAAAAAGCAACTAAGATGATTAAGGGCCTCGAAACAAAAATATATGGTTACAGGAATTGGGAATGGCCAGTCTTGAGAAAAGGGGGACTAGGGGGGACATGATAGCAGTATTCCAATATTTGAGGGGTTGCCACAAAGAAAAGGGGGTCAACTTATTTTCCAAAGCAATAGAAGGCAGGACAAGAAACAATGGATGGAAACTAATCAAGGAGAGAAGCAACCTGAAATGAAGGAGAAACTTCCTAACATAGAGGACAATTAACCAGTAGAACAGCTTGCCTTCAGAAGTTGTCACTGGAGGTTTTTAAGAAAAGACTCATCTATCTAAATGGTATAAGGTCCCCTACTTGAGCAGGGGATTGGACTAGAAGAAAGATCTGCAAGATCCCTTCCAACTCTATTCTGATTGAAATTGAGAAAATATACCTCTTCACCTCCTTCAGCTACATAGTTTTCTGGTGTTCCATCTTCCACAGCTGATTATCATGTCCATTTTCTAGATTTATTTGACCACAGACCAAGCAGTCAAGCCCTACTGAGGTAACCAGCTTTTAAAGAGATACTGTATGTTCTCCGTATCTCACAAATGAAGTACGTGCAAAAAGTATGAGAGACAATGGTGCATTTTACTGATACACCAATTCTCCTGTACATTTCCATAACTCCCCAGTATGATCCTACTATTATAAGTAAGGCCACTGATCCATCTTCAGCTCTTACCGCATGCGAGCACTTAGGTATTTTCTTGTGGGAATCTCATTCCATGGATTTATATATATTTTTTCTGTATGAATCTTTTGATGAGAACTAAGCGCAGTTTTCAATGAAGCTTGTTCCACATTCCATTTTCTCCTGTGTGGATCTCTTTATAAGATGTAAAGATGCTGTAGTCATTAAAGTCTTTTTCACACTCAATTGATTTATATGGTTCCTCCCTTGTGTGGATACTTTGTTGGCAAATAAGGTCTCTGTTGACAATCAAGGTCTTTTCCCATTCTAGGCATTTATATGGGTTATCCCCTGTGTGGGTTCTTAGGTGGCAGGTAAGGTCTCTCTGATCGAAATAGCTCTTTCCACACTCCATGCATTTATGTGGTCTCTCCCCTGTGTGGATCCTTTTATGAGAATTAAGCTGTCTTTTCTTAGCAAAGCTCTTTTCACATTCAGTACATTTATATGGTTTCTCCCCTGTGTGGATTCTTTCATGCTCAGTAAGATTTCCTTTCTGAGTGAACTGCTTTCCACATGCCATACATTTATACGGTCTCTCACCAGTGTGGATTCTTTTATGGGAATTAAGTTGTCCTTTCTGAGCAAAGCTCTTTCCACATTCCAGGCATTTATATGGTTTATCTCCCGTGTGGATCCTTTGGTGGCGAGTAAGATCTTTATTGTCAAAAAAGCTCTTTCCACACTCCAGGCATTTATATGGTCTTTCCCCTGTGTGGATCTTTTGGTGGCGAGCCAGATTACAGTTTGTACTGAAGCCCTTTCCACACTCTGGGCATTTGTAAGGTTTCTCCCCTGTGTGAACCCATTGATGAGAATTAAGTTGTCCTTTCTGAGTAAAGCTCTTTCCACAGTCAGGGCATTTATAGAGACTCTCCCCTGTGTGGGTCCTTTGATGGGTAATGAGATCTCTATTCTCAATGAATCGCTTTCCACACTCCCTGCAAGTATATGTTTTCTCCCCTGTATGGATCCTGTGATGACGAATCAGATGGCCATTTGTTCTGAAGGCTTTTCCACACTCAGTGCATTTATAAGGTTTTTCCCCTGTGTGGATCCTTTCATGACAAGTAAGATGTCCTTTGCGAGTAAATCCCTTTCCACACTCTAGGCATTTATATGGTCTTTCGCCTGTGTGGATCCTTTTTTGATGAGTAAGCATTCCATCCTGACAAAAGCTTTTTCCACACTCCATGAATTTATAAGTTCTTTCCCCCTTGTGGATCCTCTGATGGTGATTAAAAATACTGTTCATAGTGAAGCTCTTTCCAGACTTCATACACAGTTTCATGTCTCTGCTCAGATTGAAATCCTTACCAACTTTTATAAATGGATGTGATTTGTATTTCCTATACAGTTTCTTAAGTAAAGTAAGAGAGAAAAAATTATTGATGTATTTTCCATAATTTATAAAGCCTTTAGACTGACTTCTGCTATACTCAGGCAAATCAAACTTATTTTCCTCCCTTTTGCTGGATTTTCCCTTTTTCTTCCCTTTCTGACCTTGTTGGGTCAGGAAACCATGGATTTCAACAAGAGGAGAAGTGGAGGAACTGTCCCCCATGTCTTCTGACTGTCTTCTCTCTTGAGTTTTTGGAGCTCCTTCATAGTCAAGCATTATTTCTTCTACCTCATGGTTTGTTGTTTGCAGTGGCATTAATCTCACCTGCTTGTCGTTCTCATTCTCCAGCCCATCACCTACTTGGAAAAAGAAAGAAGTCCCCATTAGAGTTTAGAATGGTTAAGGAGGGGAATCTACCCATCTCAAAAGCATGCCTATTCATTTTCCAAGCTTGGCATCATTTGTCTCACTAAAGAGATATTGGGCCAAATTGTTATCTAAGGTGGGTATTTCTGCCAAGGCCTTTGTTCTCCACTAGAATAAGTGATGTGATGATGGCCTTGGGCAAAATTGCCTCTGAAGACCCAGTTCGTGATCACTTTGTTCATGATCTAGTGAGGAATAGAATAGAATAACAGAATTGAAAGGGACCTTGGAGGTCTTCTAGTCCAACCCTCTGCTCAGGCAAGAAACCCTACACTATTTCAGACAAATGACTGTCCAATCTCTTCTTAAAAACTTCCAGTGTTGGAGCATTTACAACTTCTGGAGGCAAATTGTTCCACTGATTAAATGTTCTAACTATCAGGAAAATTTTTCTTAGTTCTAATTCTTTCTTAGGTTTTTTTTTTCTTTTCTTGATTAGTTTCCATCCATTGCTTCTTGTCCTGCCCTCAGGTGCTTTGGAGAATAGTCTGACTTCCTCTTCTTTGTGGCAAACCCTGAGATATCGGAACACAGCTATCATGTCACCCCTAGTCCTTTTCAATAAATTAGACATACCCAATTCCAGCAACCATTCTTTGTTATGTTTTAGCTTCCGGTCCCCTAATCATCTTTATTGCTCTTCTCTACATTCTTTCTACAGTCTTAACATCTTTTTTACATTGTGATGACCAAAACTGGATGCAGTATTCCAAGTGTGGCCTTACCAAAGCATTATAAAGTGGTAGTAACACTTCACGTGAGTCATGATCACCTTAAGCAACTGAGTGCAGGGATATTCCGTTTACCTTCCTCTGAAAAATCCTTCCCCAACGAATGGAATGCAGAGAAAAGAGTCTTACTCAGAGCAGCCATATTCCTAGAAACCTCCAGCAGGACCTCACTGCATAAGGCCCTCTCTCTGGGATCCAACAGTGCCCACTCCTCCTCTGTGAAGTCCACAGCCACCTCTTCAAAGAAATTAGACCCCTAGAAAGAGAATGTTCCTTACCATTCAATCCTAGAAAAGACCTTGTAAGTTTTCTCTTACTGCACAAAACGGAAAACAGAGCTTTGTAAGGGACCAAACAGACATCTTATAGGAGAGGTATATGTCTGTGGGGCTTGGAAAACTTTCTTAGGCTGCTGTCTAACTTCACGAATTATGGCTTACATGCATCCAAGCTGTCGAATGGCAACATAGCCCCCATTGTGGAACTGCCTAGTGGCCCAGAATAACCCAGCATGGAGATTTGAAGGAGCAGTATCCACTGATCTGACCTCACTTGACTTAGAGAGCAAATTCAAAATTTGTTAGAAAATGGAACATATCCACTTGGAATTTCTTCCCCGGCTTAATTCAAAAGGTTGGATATAATCCTGGAAATTCCAAGTCGTTTGACTAACAATCTGGTTGTTGTAGCCACTTAGCACTGACTTTTACATGGGAAATCTGCTCTTCATACGATTGATTTTTAAGTGGATATGCTAATACATTTCTGAAGCAGATTTGATGCCATTCCTAGCCTTTCAAATCAAGGATTTCATTTTTAACTGGTTTTCAGTAATACTTTCAACAAATAAATTACATTTCCTAATATAAGCCTTTCAGTCTGTGAATTATCTCTCGTTTGTATCTCCAAAATGATTAGAAAGCTGAATGTTAAGTGACTCATTGGCTCATTCGGGGGTGGGGCAAAACACAATGTGTTCAAATGCACACAAATTCAGTATTTGGAGGAAAAAGCAACTCATGAATGGAGGAAACTTGAACTCTATTGCTTTCAGAGGAAACCTACACTTACCTGGCAAGGTGGCCAGAGTTGGATCCTCCTGAAAAATAGCTCTTGAGAAGGACTGGATCTATCTTCTCTTTCCTGGAGCTCTGTTGAGATCTCCCTTGTTAACAGCTCCTGCATCTAAAAGAACAGCCTCGTTTATGATCCACTTTCAGAAGACCATAACCATGTTCGCCCACCAGCCTTACCTTCTGTCTCCCCATCTATATGTGAAATTAAGTGAATCACTGTAATTGTTAAGTTAGAGACATGGTTGTTAAGTGAATCTGGCTTCCCCATTGACTTTACTTGTCAGGAGATCACAAAAGGTGATCACATGGCCCGGGGATGCTGCAACAGTCATAAATGTGAACCAAATTGCCAAGTGTCTGAATTTTGATTACATGACCACAGGGAGGGTGCAACAGTCATAATTTGAAAAATGGTCACAAGTCACTTTTTAGGGTGCTGCTGTAATTTTGAACAGTGACTGAATGGTTGTTAAGTCGAGCTCTCCCTATATTAAGGAAAGCTGGATTGGAAGAAATGATTTTTAAAGTGCAGGAAGAAACATCAGTAATTTGTGCTATGCTGATGACATTAATCTGATAGCTGAAAACAAAAAGGATCTACAAGCCCTAACAATAAAATAGCAGAGTGGAAAACTGGACTAAAATTATATATAAAGAGGACCAAATAGAACATAGATTACAGAATAAAATAAATAAAATATAAAATAAATAAATTATGGAAATTAATGTAACTTATCCATAAATTTATAAATACAAAAAATAAAATAGAATAAAATAAACAATAGGTACAGTAACCAGCCATAGAATTGTCAATGGACATATCAAAGTGGTGGAGAGGTTCTCTTAATAAAAATATAGCAAAGATTAGAGGAGCTATGAGGTCCTTGGAAAAGATATAACCATCATCTCTATACCAAAAAAAATCACAATTGTGCAAGCCATGATCTTCCCTATGATACTCCCTGTAAGTGAAAGATAAAGCAATACAGGAAGACTACCAGTACTTGACTTTTGGTACCAGAAGTTTCCTGAGTATATCATGGACAGTCAATTAAATAAACCAATGGATCATTAAACAAATCACCCCAGAGTTCTCAATAGGGGCACACGTAACCAGGCTCATATTACCCTATTTCAGATTCATTATGCAACAATCAAGCTCTTGGGAGAAAGTAGTAATCCTAGGAAAAGGTGGAAGGAAAAAGAATAAGAGCATGACCAGCAGCAAGGTAGATGGATTCAGTTGAGGTGGTGACGATTCAGTTCAGGTGAGAGACCTGAAATAGCAACTTAGGGATGTATTGTTATGAAGAAGATCTATCTATAGGGTTGCTAGAGTTGAAAACCACTTGATGACACAAAATCAGTGAAGCTCTTTATCGGTAGGGGATCTATTTCCCCTTTCAGTTTTGTTTCCTTTTGCATTTTGTGATGAGTAAAGCTTGATTTAACAGATAACAGATAATCAGAGTTGGAAGGGACCTTGTAAGTCATCTAGTCTAACCCCCCACCCAAGCGGGAGACCCTACACCATTTCTGACAAATTGCAGTCCAATCTCTTCTTGAAAGTCTCAAGTGATGGCGCTCCCACAACTTCCCAGGGCAACTTCTGTTCAATTGGTTGATTGTTCTCACAGAAAGTTTTTCCTTATTTCCAGGTTAAATCTCTCCTTGTTCAGTTTCCATCCATTATTCCTTGTCTGGCCTTTGGGTGCTTTAGAAAATAGCTTGACCCCTTCCTCTCTGTGACAGCCCCTCAAATATTGGAAGACTGCTATCATGTCTCCCCTGGTCCTTCCCTTCACTAGACTAGCCATGCCCAGTTCAAAATTTAGACCTCTCTGCAACTGCACCGAGGCATCAACGCATATCTATGCTTTGAAGGGGTTGAGGAGTAAGTGTAAGTTGTAGATGGTTGCAGACGGACCTCCCAATGAGACCCACTGCCTCTCCTGTCCTCTGCTCGGCATCGAAGGCTGCCAAAGACCTGCGCATGCTCCCTTGAAAACGTTGAAAAAGTCGCCCCTAGTCCAGTAGACCTCAAATCTCAACTGTACATTGTGTGGAAATGTATAGTATATCCTGCATGCCGAGTGGTTGATCCGGCTTCCTGGGCTTTGTTCCGGCAAGCAAAGTTAATGGGGGAAAGCCAGATTCACTGCATGGTTCATTTAACAACTGCAGTGATTCGCTTCACAACCGTGGCAAAAGGTTGTAAAATTGAACGCGACTCGCTTAACCACCACCTAGAAATTCTGCACTCAATTGTGATCCTAAGTCAACGAGTCCCAAGGAGACCTCTTGGATTCAGGCTTGGAGTCTACATCCCTGGTCTGGAAACCTTCCATTTCTGGCCATCCAGTCAGAGCTGAAGAAGCTTCATGGATGAGAAGCAAAATGTCTTCAAAAGAAAAAAAAAACCAGCAAGTCCAGTTGCCTCTTGAAAAAAAAGCACCTTTGGGACAACCATGACCTGGATAACTGAGAATCTCCATAGGCATCTAACTGGAGAAATCATTTATCAGCCTTTTTGTAGTAGTCTGGACAAAAAGCAGGACAGTAAATACCAGCTCTATTTTTAAGCCACGCTAATAGGATCTTGCAATTCTAGATCTATCATCCTCTCTTTTTACTCACTGGAAAAGAGGATTTTTATGACCCCCCCCCATCCACCTCCCACAGTCATATTTTGCGGACCAAGATATATTTTATATTGTGGCTGCCCAGTCTGCCTCTTCCACAGTTATTATTCCCACGTATTATCACGCCATTCCAACAACGCAAGTTCTCTACATGTGTTTTCTCTGCAACTGGCAAGTAAGAGGATGAAAGTGTCTCACCTGCCGCCCCTTTCCGGGCTCCGGGGCGGCTGCGGGGCCGAGGAGGCAGCCTTCGGCCAGGGCCACCGCCTGGGCGCAGCTCTCCGCCCCGCACTCCCTCAGCCAGCCCGACAGCTCCGGGGGCAGCAGGGCCAGCAGCTGCTCCAGCACCACCAGGTCCAGCATCTCGGCTTTGCTGCTCCGCTCGGGCCGCAGCCACCCCCGGCACAGCCGGTGCAGGCGGCTGCAAAGCGCCCGGGGCCCCTCGGCCTCCCGGGAGGCGCAGCTGCGGAAGCGCCAGCGCTCAGCCTCGGAGCTGCGAGGACCCTCGCGGAGGCCGCTCGGGACGCCGCTTCCCCCGCCGGACTCTTCGCCGCAGCTGCTCCCCGCCTGAAGGCGAGACCCCCGGCGGGCCTCCATTCGGTCTCCGGGCTTTTAGCACAGCTCCGACGGGGTAGGGGTGGGGGAAAAACTCCCTCCGAGGCCGCCGCCTTCAGTCAAGGCGGACCCCCCAACTCGTCACCCTTTCCCGAGGAGAGAAGAAAGGGGGGCTCCGCTCCCTCAGGGCTTCTAAGGCGGAGAAGGGTAGCTGCAAATCGTTCCCGCCATTATTCCACCCGCCCTCCTATTCCCACAGAATTTCGGTCAGAGAGTGATGCATCCTAGAAGGAAAACGTTATAACCCCCCCTCCTCCTCCTCCTCACTCTTCCTCGTTTCCTGAACTTGGCTAGAGCGTCTCCCAATGGAACCCACCGCTTCTCCTCTGTCCCGCTCTGTCTCGAAGTCTGACAGAGATCTGCGCGTGCGCCCCTTGTTGAAACACTCGCCCAGAGTCCGGTTGGTGGGGAGGTTGGGAAAGGATGGGAAATGGAATCAGGGGTGGGATTCAAATTTTTTTTTTACTACCGGTTCTGTGGGCGTGGCTTGGTGGGCGTGGCAAGGGAGGGATACTGTAAAATCTCCAGTCAGAGGTGATATTTGCTGGTTCTCCGAACTACTCAAAATAAGACTTGGGGACTTCAACTCCCAGAATGCTGGCTGGAGAATTCTGGGAGTTGAAGTCCACAAGACTTAAAGTTGCCAAGTTTGGGGACCCCTGGTGTGGGGAAAGGCGAAGAAGCTGGGGATGATGGGTACCAATAAAGGAGAATATTTATAGCTCGGGGTTGACATGAGGGGTCCTTGGTGCTCTCTGAGCTTGTTTTCTTGCAGACGTTTCATTACCCAACTAGGTAACATCATCAGTGCTAGTAAGGAATGTGGTTTGCTGTCAGTTTATATTCTGGTGTCTTGCCTGTTTGTGTGGATGGAGGTGGAAACTACCAAAGAGCCATCAGTAACCAAAGAATCTGTTAAAACTACTCCCACCCACACAGACAGGCAAGACACACTGAATACAAACCTCACTTGCAGCACTGATGATGTTACCTAGCTGGGTAATGAAACATCTGCAAGAAAACAAGCAAGCTCAGATAACCCCCAAGGATACCTCATGATGGGTACCATGGATGAGCAGGGCTGAAACGAGCAGCCTTGGATGGAAACTGGTTTGATTGTTGTTTCTGGGCACCCTTTTCCCATGCAATCCTCTTGGAAATTGGATGCGTTCCTGGGACAGGTGGAAGAAGTGGGCAGGGAGGGAGATCCGATGGAGGACTCTGGAAATGAGAGAGATGGAAAGAGCCCCAGGGCTCTTAAATATAGCTAGTAGATTTATCTATTATGAAGTAAATAAGTATTTATTATTAAATAAATAAGCAAACATAGAATACAGGTAGTCCTTGATTTACAACAGTTCATTTAATGATTGTTCAAAGTTACGGCACTGAAAATGTGACTTATGACCGTTTTTCAGTTACGACCTTTGCAGCATCCCCATAATCATGTGATCAAAGTTCAAATGCTTGGCCACTGGTTCATAGTTATTGCTGTATCCCAAGATCACGTAATCCCCTTTTACCTTCTGAGAAGCAAAATCAATGGGGAAGCCAGATTCACTTAACAACCGGGTTACTAACTTGGTCACTGCAGTGAATCTCTTAACGGTGGCAAGAAAGGTTGTAAAATGGAGCAAAACTAACTTAAATTCCTCACTTAACAACAGATTTTGGGCTTAATTGTAGTTGTAAGTTGTTAGTTGTAAAGTCGTGTCCGACCCATTTCCCCATGGAAAATGTTCCTCCAGGCTGTGGGAATTGCTATCTGTTTCCTCGCGCGCGTGCAAGGACAACGGG